CACAAAAAAGCAAACAATGCAAATGAAAAGTAAAACAAAAATTAAACCTCACTCCTGGTTTTAGGAATGAAATTTTTTGTTTGTGTTTTCTGCAAAAAAAAAGCTGGAAACAAACAATTTTTTTTTCATAATACAGATGCCTAACAGACATTTGTATAAACAGAAACTACCTGAATTTGATGAACTGAGTCTTTTTCGTCAAATTTATAGATTTTGACGAAATTATGTTTCTCATCAAATGCAGGGAGGTTATATGGATTTGAGATTATATTTAGTCCGAACACCCCTAAAAGGAGGAATCGCTCTTAGTGGTTGAAGAAATGGTATAATCGGCCGACAGATTTAAGTGGAATTCCGAAACCAGAGAAAAAGAGGTATCTTTTAAATATTTACCACAATGGAATCTAAAAATAGTATCTACTTCTGATAAAGTATAAAATCAACGAATACGCTTGCAAAAAAATTCCTCTTTTTGCAATTACTGAAAGGGGAAGGGGCGGTTTAGGATGAAGGGGCAGATGGCTCTCCCCCTTAGGGGTTCGAACATACCAACACCCAGAGGGTCCCCCTTTCTCACTACTTTTCGACTCACCACGGGCGCCAAAAGGCACCCTAGGCGCAAAAAGGCACCAGGGGCGCCAAAATTTAGTAGTTTTTAGGAAGAATGTACGCCGAAAAAACAAGATTTTCCAAAAGTTGTCAAAAAAGACAATTTTGACGTGTTTTTATTTTTCAAAAATTTGCCTGTAGCGAGTAAGTTTTGTCAAAATAAGGTCAAATGTTTTTATTTTTTTTCTGAAAATCTGCACCAGCGTCCCTCGAGAAAATTATAGACCCGGGGGCGAGGATATTATAGTTATTTTTGTATAGATACAGACGAGTCAATTCAGATTTAGAGAAATTAATAAACACTTATGACTGGGCGTATTATTTCGGCTTTTTGGGCTTTCTGTAATGCAAATCGCCCACTTTTACCATCATTCTACATAACTGGAGGGTTCATCCTGAAACAACAAATAGAACCTCAATATTGCTTTTAGCTACCATCAGTGAAATAGAGTACGATTCGCCCGAAAAAAAGATGATAACAAAATCTCATTTAGATTACGATACGCAATAAAAAAAAACAAAATGGGCGCGGAATCTAATTGCCCGTGGCTTTTTTCTGTTTTTTATGTCTGGGCATTTGAACCACGTACATTAGCCGGTATATATTAAAAGTCTATTGTTGCATTTCGGATAAATATGCGACAGTGTAACAAACAGACGAGGCATTAGTCAGAAGAGAACCCCCCTAGAATTAAGAATACATAAATTTAATGAACTTTTTTGACTGATTTGTAAAAACTTTGGCTAATGTCATCAATAAATTTGGAGGAAAAAGACCAATTTTTGTCAGATCAATAATATATTTTTTTTCAAGATCCGACGGCATTAAAATAGTCAAATCTAGTGGAAAACCCTGTAATTGTTCTGAGTTAAACCTTTAAGGAGTCGTTGTCCTTTAAATTTTTTGCACATTCTGTTCTATGAACTGATTCTGAAATTGTAAACATCCCGACGTAAGTTATGGGTAACGGCCCAGAGAAACATGCAGCATGTACTATTACGTGTAAAGCGTCCACGCATTTGCATATTATAATCCAGTCTGAGGATTCCAAAATTAACTTCGAGTAGTCTCGTTAATCTGGGAAAAAATGTATGTTGTCAAACTCGGAAATCACAACGAATCACAAACTACACTTTACATGTATGCAAAGACTGGTCTTGAATTTTAACAAGGAAAACTCTGTCTATCATTTGAAAATTTTCCACATTGAATCTGTAAGACCGAAACGATTAATCATGTGTTTTGAAACCCAGTTTCGATCGGATTGAATAACTAGATAATAACGATATTCGATTGAATTGCATTTAGAATCAATTTAGTTTGATCTAAAAACGAAGCTCAAAAGTTCAATTTCAATCGATTCTAAACTGATTCAAAACCAGTTTGTTGTTTTTTTTGTTGTTCCTACTTTCGATACGAAAGTAACGGAATATTTCTGCTCGGGGTGGGTTTTTTTTCTTCAGACAAATTTCGACTTCTTAACTAGCCTTCTTTGACAGAAATTTTTAAATCATTCAAAAGTTATTGTTGTCTTGAGCTTAAATTTGAAAAGATATTTCACCTGTGATCATTTTTCGTAAAGTAATGGGGGTTTAAATATTGCCATTTTGGCCAACTTGGGACAATTAACGCGCGATATATTTTGCGCTATTTAACAAGTAAGCGGAGAATTAATCCATCTGAGAAATTGTTCGAAATTGGTTGAAAGAAGCTTATTTTACATAATTGATTTGTTACTAGAAGCGAAAACTATGATTTTGTACTTTATATTGCGTGTGGGGGCATGGTTTTAATTAAAAAGTTTCAAATATATATAATTCGAAACGCATTGTTTTCCTGAGCTCAAATTTGAAAAGATATTTCACCTGTGATCTTTTTTTATAAAGTTATGGGGGTTTAAAGATTGCCATTCTGGCCAATTTAGGACAATTAACGCGCGATATATTTCGCGCTATAAACGCGTAAGTGGAGAGTTAATCCGTCTTAAAAATCGTTCCAAATTGGTTTAACGAAGCTTACTTGCCATAATTGATTTGTTACAAGTAGCGAAATCTATCCTTTTGTACTTTATATGGCGTGTGGGCGGATGATTTTTATAAAAAAAAGTTTCAAATTTTTGTTAAAAAAATTTTTCATTTTGTTTTATTACGTTTAATTTTTTAGTGTTATCGCTGCTCCATAAACCTTAATAGGCAGTCGGAACATTCAAGGCTTCGCCCTGATACGAGCAGTTCCTTTTTATGCGGGTTTTATTAACAAAATAATCGATTTAAAACGATTACAGTCAATTGCAAACGATATCTTTTACATACCAGTTAAACTATAAGTATAACTGGTATGTAGATTTTCTTAACTAAAAATAGTTTTAAGTTTTTCAGTTATTTATCATTTACCTGGCAAAATTAAGCCAAATATTGGATAATGAAATTAAGTTTGAAGAAAGTTTACGTAGTTTTCCTTTTCATTACCCGTGTACCCTTAGATTTGCACAGCAGTAAAATTAAACGGTAAAATTAGCTGTAGTATTTTTTTTCGAGTGGTTCTGGTACTTTGTAACTCTGACAGACTATTTTTTAATAGTTGAAGTAAATCAAGTTTGTGGATATTTTGATGCGTTTTACTGCTTTGCGAAAATCCATTTGAAATGTATTTTTTAGGCTATAAACTGAGCTTTTTTGGCTCCATTTAATCTAGTCTAAATCCAGTTACGTATCTAAATTGGCTACTTTAGATTGATTTTTAAACAGTGTTTTGTCTGTATAAAAAATGTGTAAATCGAGTTTGTTAGTGCGGGCAGCCTCGCTATCTCAAAACTTTATTCATCAAAAATTCGCATTTTTGTTGAACATACCTCAGCGATCTCAAAACAAAAACAGTATAATATTTTGTAAGCAAAAAAAGCACGTTTTTAAAGCAACTTTCCTCTGCTTTCAACGAAATTGATGATAAACTCTCTCTCATTACTGATGCAGAACTGAAATTTTAAATCGCGCTAGAATCTCTGAACAAAATGGCTCGATTGTTTATGTTTGAGTTATGTTGCAGATCTGCGTTTCTGATCATTGCTTCACCAATGATAAAGCAGTACTGCTTCGCTCTGATACATCAACTTTTTTTGAGGCTTGTTAAAGGAATTCATTTTGATCCATGTCAAGGAATTGCTCTGGCCCATTTCCCTTCACCTTATAAACTTTCTTTTTTTTTCACATTTTAATTCACATTAATAGTTAATTCACATTTTAATATGGCAAAATGCGAATATGTTTTTCTGGACATTACTGATAAAATGATGGGGCAAAACTGCTTTGCTCTGAGACGTCAACCGGGTTTTTCAGCTTTTTCGAGGAATTCATATGCAGTATAAAGTTGTTAGAGTAGTTTCTCAAAACAAAAACTGACAAATGGGAGGTAAAGAGCGCAAGGAATGATCACAAGGGCACAAAAAATGAAAAGAGCAGAGAAAAGAGCAAGAAATTGAAAAAAAAACGGAAAAGAGCACAAGGAATGATCTGGGACTTCTAGAGGAGCGGGTTTTCAAAACTAAAATTGAAATCGTTCTCGACTTTTTTAATCCACCAAGCTGAGTTTTCGCAATCTCCCGAAAAATTGGAGAGACAAAACTTTTTGTCCCAACTTTGCATTCCCATGTATTTAACGACATACAATTTAGATCGAACTATTTTTACTAAGGGCAATTTTGCAAACAACTAACAACAAAAAGTGAGAGTGGGTAGAAAATCCTGCTTTGCCCAAGTTTTCTGCGCCACTGGCAAAATTTTCTTTGGGTCAAAGCTTCCAAAACTTGCCAGAAAAAAAAGAATTTTTTGCCTGAACATAATTTTTATAAATTGTTTTGGGAGAATTCAAAAAAATTAGTCGGCTGAGAAAAAAAATGTCCAAAAAAAGTTTTGACCAAAAAAAAGCGTTTTTTTTCGGCGTCTACCTCTCCCTGAATTTTAGTTTATATTGGCGCCAAAGGCGTCTTTAGAAATTTGTTTAACGGTCGGTCAAATGGATGTGTGAAAATAGTACAAAGAGGACCCTTTGGGTCGGCAGGGGGTCTAATTTTTGAGGGAATGGCGTTCGCAAACCCGCTCCCCGCCCCATCCGATCCTCCTCCGCCCCACCTCACCCCTGAGCCCGCACCTGGACAAATCCAAGTCTTCCCCTGTTCCAGAAAACCCTAGAAAAAATGCATTTGTTCAAGGTACAAATGTTGATTTTTCTTAAACTGGAAAAAACTTTTCAGCACAAGAACGATCTCGTATCTTGTGACCTGGTTTTGAAGATCATATTATTTTTTCAGTCCGTTTACTTTTCTAGATAATTCTCGTGGGTGTTTTTTGGTTTCATAATTTTTCTAGAAAGTTCTCGACTGTTTTTTTTTCAGGTCTTCGCTACACTGTTAGGTTCTACAGAGTGGCCGCCTACTTCGTGATCAATCTCATCATGCCTAGCTTGATGATCAACGTGCTCTGTATGCTCAACTTCGCCATACCCTGCTCCTCGGGTGAAAAAGTAAGAAAATTAAATTATATTGTCAATTAATTTCCAGGTTGAGGTTGGTCACATTTTTTTAGATTAGGCTTTTCATGCATTGGAAACTAGTTGATTTGATAGTCGTTTGAGTACGATGCAGATCAGTTTCTCTAAAGAAAAAATTGGTATTTTTGTTCTTAATAAGGTTGCTTGGTGTGAGTTTTTTGAACGATTGAGAGTCCCATGATTTGCTGAGGGAAGCAGGAAGTTCATCAAGTAAGGTTTTCAGGACCACAAAAAAGCTCTGATTTGATTATCTAACAATTTTCTTGAACTAGGCAAAAAGTACACTGCTCATCAAGGTATTCAATAGAAAACGTTCTTCAATCATGTGAAGATCTTATTTTGTTCAAATTTTCGGGGTGTTTTGGAAGATATTTACAAAAAGTTCGAACTTAAACTGTGCACGGTGCGCACTCAAAATTAGTATAACTTAGCGCCAAAAGCCCGTTGAAAAAATCTAGAATGCGCCAACTAAATATGGATGCCGCACAATAGTACGAAATGGCGAACAACCCTTTGGGTAATAATGGGGTCAAACTCCTGAGGGTTAAGCTAAAGGATAAAAAATTCAAAAGCTTCATTCATTTGCGTTAAGCTTGCTTTTAGTCTTTTTCTCCGCAAAAAAAAATCAGAGAAGACAAATTGAAAAAAGATATACATTTTTTTGTATGCTGCCAAGTAAAGCTGTTTAAAAATAACTCGACTGAGAATCAACTTGAAATTAACGTCGCTGTTCGAAAATAAAGTAGTACCATAATTAACTGTAATGGGTCGAGGGATATATCTTATTAAGGTAATATTGGCAAAAAAAAGTATTCAAAACTTTTGAGTTCAAGCCTAGTTTGAACAAGCAAAACGAGTGAGTAGTTCTTCTTTGTAGTGTGCACAAAATTGTAGATTTCTTGCAGTTCAAACTAATCCGTAAAACTTTAATTTATACCAGTAAAATTAAAATTGAAAATTATCAGCGCTTTCTTCAGAAGTTTTATGATTTTTTATGAAGACACCTAGCAGACAGAGGATGCGACGAAAGCCGCTGAACAGAATTTTTTTGAAAATGTCGAGAAAATTGAATCTAACAAAACTGTAACGCAATTGTCTCAAATTGTCGAATAAAATTCACTTCAGTAAAACATGCCAAACAAGCAATTGAAAATAAACTTCGCTACAAACAAAGTTCACGAAGCGGTAACAAGGCCGATATTTTTTTGAGCAGCGGACAACCAAAACTTCAATAGTATTTGAGTAAAACTGAATTCGAAGTTTTTCCAGCGCTTTCGTCAGAAATTATTATAACTTATTAATAATTTCTTTTGAAAAACCGATGTAGCAGACACCTAGCAGGCAGATGGTAAGACGAAATTCACTCAAACGATTTTTTTTTGAAAATGTCGAGAAAAGATAGATTTTCTAAAAAAGTTACACTTTTGTCTCAAAATGCCAAATAAATAAAACATGCCAAACAAGACAATTGTAAATGAAGTTCTATAGAACAAAATTTACGAGGCGGTAACAAGCCTGATATTTTTGAGCAGCGGACACCCAAAACTTCAATGTTGTTTGAGTAAAAGTAAAATCGAAGTTTTCCAGCGCATTCGTCAGAAGTTATTATGATTTTTTAATCATTTTTTTTCGGAGAAGACAGCTAGCAGACAGATATTGAGTCTAAAGTTGCTAAACAGAACTTTTTTGAAGTGAATACCAAAATTGGCATACTTTTGTCTCAATTTGTCACGAATAAAGTTCACTTCGGAAAAGCATGCTAAACAAGACAATTGAAAATGAAGTTTGCAGCGAAACAAAATTTACAAACCGGTAAAAAGCTACTTTTTTTGAGCAGACACCTAAAACATCAATAGTATATGAGTAAAATTAAATTCGAAGTTTTTCCAGTGAGCTCGTTTTTCAAGTTATTTTTCCGACTTTCGATACGAAAGTAACGGAATATTTGTGCTCGGGTAGGGTTTTTTTTCTTCAGACAATCTTAGACCTTTTAACTAGCCATTTTGACGGAAACTTTTCATATCATTCAAAAAGTATATTTGTCCTGAGCTTAAATTTGAAAAGATGTTTCACCTGTGATTATTTTTTGTAAAGTTATCAGGGTTTAAAATTGCCATTTTGGCCAATTTGGGACAATTAACGCGCGATGTATTTCGCGCTATTAACGCGTTAGCGGAGAGTTAATCCGTCTTAGAATCCGCTCCGAATTGGTTGAAAGAAGTTTATTTGCAATAATTGATTTGTTACAAGGAGCGAAATCTATCCTTTTGTACTTTATATGGCGAGGTGGGGGATGATTTTCATGAAAAATTTCAAATTTTAGAAGAAAAAAATTTAATTTTGTTTTATTACATTAAATTTTCAAAAATTTTTACTGCTCCATAAACCTTAAAAGGCAGTCGGAATATTCAGGGCTTCGCCCTGATACGAGCAGTCTTGTTAAATTTCAAGTCATGGATAATTTCAGATGTGAATAATTTACTCACAAGCAGTTGACTTTGATGTACTGCTCACCAGGGTGGAGCAGTACACCCCCCCCGCCCTCAGGCTTTCAACCACATCGCAAACCAAAGGGTCCTCCCTTTGACATTACCGAAGTCAAGTTTTTTTCTGAACACGATATAATAATTTCGCTAACTGAAGTTTTTCTCCGTACATTTTTGAACGATCAAAAAATCGATGCTGAGAGCTTTTGAGTAGGCAAAATTAGTAACTGAGAATCTTTTCTGAAATAAAACTGGAGGGTTTAATTATTGTCAGTTTGGCAGCTTTGGAGTAAATTTTGTTCTAATTTTTGAACGAGGTTTTTGACACTAGTTATGCTTGGGATGGTTTCCTTCATTCAGTCAATTTTTCAATGTTAATTTAGTCATTTTCGATAGTTTGTAAAATCATCTAGAATGTAATGACATACTGAGCTCAAATGCAAACAGAAACATTTCACCTGTGATCACTTTTCGTGAGGTTTAAAAAGTTCAAGCGAAATCTCTCCTTTTGTACTTTATATTGCGTGTGGGGGGATGGTTTTCATAAAAATTTTTAATTTAAAAAAAAACTTCACTTTGTTTTATTACATTTATTTTTTTGATTGTTATTATACTGCTCCATAAACCTTAAAAGGCAGTCGGAACATTCAGGGCTTCGCCCTGATACGAGCAGTCTTGTTATGATTTATTAATCATTCTTTTTTCGAGAAAAAATGATGCAAAAACACTTACTTTTTTAAAATTTTAATCAAAAATTCCTAATTTATAGGCTTTTGTTCTGGTCCTGTTATCAGCCTAGAAATAAAAAAAAACCCATTAGAAAAAAGAATTGATTTTTTTTTCAGTTTTTTTTTCTAATTTGTGGTCGGAATATTTTGTACTTACTTTCATTTTCCTATTTTTGAGGTTTTTTGTTCACGAAAACAACAATTACAAGAATTTTGTGCTGATTGCATGCCAAACAACTGTTTATTCTTGTGTTTGTGAGGGATTTGACCTAGGGAGCACAATGACATCAAGTCTTTATTTCATTCAAGCTTTAGTACCTCGAAAAAACTCAGTCGATCATATTTAATTCTTTTCAGCCCTGATTCACGTTCAACATTTACGAAAAAAACATTGCTTTGAGTTGAGAAGCAATTATCATTTTTCTAAGTTTTCAGATCATTTTGCAGAGATTGAGCAGATTTAAAATTTTGGCGATTTTTAAAAAAAAATTTACACAATATTGTCCAATTTTTATGGCCTTTTAGTTAATTCTTTTCTCTCTTCAGTTTTAGGATAAAAGATAGAAATAAAACATAAAATAAAGAAAAAGTTTCCTCATTTTTAACATTTTCATGCATGGATAGGCTTGGTCAGAACAATTTGACTTGCATATTTAATTATGTTTTCATATTTTCTATAAAACATATTTTCTATAAAATTGTTGAGCTAACAAATCAAATTAACTCAAAGTGAATGAGCGGCGTGAAAAAGGGTGAAGTTCACGCCTCTTGGTAGGAAGATCTGCACTTTGTTGTTCACGTCGGTTTCCGTTGTTGTGGAGGCTGAAGTGTTTTTTTCCAGCCTGAAAATTAAAAACAAACTGCTGCTCGCAGAACTTATTTAGGTGGTATATAGGAAGAGTTTGTGTGTTTAGTTGTTTCTTTCGTGGATGAACTTTCTCATTTTACCTCAATCTGCGAACAAAACCCTTCAAACAATCGGCGCTACTAAAACTATACATTGATGAGAAATAATTTTTGTAATAAGTTTGTAACTTTATTAACTCATTTGAATGTCTGTTGTTTCTAGGTGGGCTATGGCATCACTGTGTTTCTCGCCCAGAGTGTCAATCTGATGGTGGTGATGGAGATGATGCCTCAGGGAGGGATGTCCATTTTAGGAATATTCCTCGCTGTCTCCATTCTTCTCATAGGTAACCAATCTATAGTTTTTTAAGTCGGAAACTTCGAAAACCGGAAAAAACCGGAAACTTTGGAGACTTTTAATTAGAAAAGTTTCATCATTCAGGAGAGTAGTCTATAAGATATGTCACATAGACAAAACCATAAAAAATAATTCAGATAGTTCCGACTCATTTCAAAAGGTTAATTTAGTTTTTGGTGTTTAAATGTGACTTCGGAGCTCCTTTATGATTATAATTGTTCCGAATTTCGAAGAAAACGAAATATTTATGCTCGTTTTTTTTTTATTCAGGCAGTTTTCCCCGATCGAAATAATAGTTTTCAACAAAACTTTTTACAACCCATTGAAGATATCGACTTACTGAGTTCAAATTTAAAATGTTGTTTTGCCTCCGATTATTTTTTGTTAAGTTCTGAGGGTTTGAAAATTACCAAATTCACCATGTTGTGGACTAAGCTATGCGCGCTTTGAAGACCTTATTCATATTGCTGAGAAAGTAACGCGAATTGTTTAAGCGTGGCGAATTATCCCGCAAAAAAATGTTCCAAATTGAATTGAGGCTAGCTAATTGGATCGGTCGTAATAATTTCATAAGACTCAACATTTCACACTTTGATTTTGTCCAAAGTTTATAGGTGTTCAATAATTTGTTTCCCAAAAACTATTCGACATGATTTAAGGGACAGTCGGAACAATCAAGGCTTTGCCTTGATATACGAGCAGTCTTGTTTGAAGTGATTGTAAAGATTAAATAGAGACTGACTAAGAACCATCAAAAAGTTACATTTCAGTAAAGGACCATTTGTAATTGGCCGATTCCCCAAATATGATCTTTTTATGCATGCCTGCTTTATAAAAAGAGAAATTAATCGAATATACTACAATTATAATTGTATTTTTATTAAAACCTCAATTAATTATAAGCGCCAAATTAGGATGTTTAAAGGATTTATAATCTATCATAGTGATAAATTTTTTCGTGACAACTTTATAAATTTCAATCATTTATAATTGATTATAATTCTTCTGAAAATCTCATATAATCTCTTATAAGCTTTTATAATCTTTCATAATAGAATATAATCCTTTTTTTCTGTCAAAAGTCTCCAAAAGTGAGATGGTTTGTGTTTCTTTGGTTCATCAGAACTTAAAGTCTTACTACGAAACAAAAAATTCAAAGAGATCCCGTCATATTAAATGAAAGAATCCCGCGGTAAGTGAAATATATTTCTTCAAAATAAATCAGGAAACTAAAGCTGTGTGCTGATATTTTGGTGGTGCAAAAAAAACAAAAAATATGCATCATGAAACAACTATAATCAAGAAGAAAAGAAAAAATAAATACGCTATAATTTTGAATTGTTTTGAAAACTGTTATAACAATTCTCCCATTTTTCTCATAAACCAACGTCTACAAAAATCAAAAAATATATGCAATTCAGGTGCAAGGTCGAAGACAAAAAGGGCAAACAAAAGGAATTATAAACATTTATAATTAATAATAATGGATTTCTCTGCAAAACAAATGAATTAGAAATTCGGATAAAAATGATCGATTTTAATCGATTATAATGTATTCTAATTGTTTATAATTGATTTCAAAAATAGAGGTTATAATCGCTTATTGATTGGTTAAAATCAATTTTTTCTCAATTTTTTGTATGACTGGTACTAAAATTATATTATAATCGATTATTAACGCTTGAAACTGGATGCGGTTGCCAAGCGGTTTCGTAGCAGTGTTTAGACAACCGCGTTATCAGACTCGCCAGTAAGCAGAAAAATACTGTTTTAATCAATAAGAATCGAGACAAAGAACAAATAGATAGTTAATTATTATTTATTTCGTAATTTTGCTTTCTCGTCTCGATTCTGATTGGTTAATATGGTATTTGTCTGCTTACTGACGAGTATGAATACGCGGTTGTCTAAATACTGCTACGAACCCGCTTGGCACCCGCATTCAGTTTCATGCGTTAATAATCGATTATAAAATAATTTTAGTACCAGATTTATAAAAAAAATTGAGAAAAAATTGATTTTAATCAATTAATAATCGATTATAACCTCTCTTTTTGAAATCAATCATAATCAATTAGAATACATTATTTTACACAAGCGTTGGTTTAGACCATTTTTGAGTTTCACAAATTTATACATGAGATCAAAAGTGTTTCTAATTGCGTAAGGTACACATATGTCAACCTAAAAGACAATTGGACCACTATGGGCCAAAATGGCATGTGGAACGGCGGAGGAGCTCGAAAAGTATAACCTCACAGTGTATTTCACCATTATAGGAGGTCATAACTTGCTTAGGGAGACTACAAAGGGAACAAGACTGCTCGTATCAGGGTGAAGCCCTGAATGTTTTGACTGCCTTTTAAGGTTTATAGAGCAGTAGTAACATAAAAAAATTAAATGTAATAAAATAAAACGATTTTTTTTTAATTTGAAAATTTTTATGAAAATCATCCACCCACACGCCATATAAAGTACAAAGTGATAGATTTCGCTCCTAGTAACAAATCAGTTATGGCAAATAAGCTTCCTTCAACCAATTTGGAACGTTTTCTAAGAGCGAAAATAGAGCGAAATAAATCGCGCGTTAATTGTCCAAAATTGGCCAAAACGACAATCTTGATACCATCATAACTTTACAAAAGTTAACCACAGGTGAAATATCTTTTCAAATTTAAGCTCAGGGCAACAATACTTTTGAATGATATAAAAAAATTTTGTCAAAAAGGGCTAGTTAAAAAGTCGAAATTTGTCTGAAGAAAAAAAAACACCCCAAGCACAAATATTCCGTCACTTTCTTTACCAAAGTCGGAACAAAAAAGCCATTTTTACACACAATTAAAGCCATTTCTGTCAAAAAAGCCATTTTTGTCGGTTCTCAATCTTGTTGTTTTTCGAGTTTATTCCTCTTTTATTTTAGAATTCTGTACAAAAAATAAAAATCTCCTGTTAGTTTGTTTTTCAGGTCGCTTTTTGCCTGTTCTGAAGTTTAGCGAACCAAAATCAACATCATTTGCTTATACGCGGCTCTTCGCCGACCTTTCTCTTTGTTTGTACAGAAGGCTTAGGTTGTTTATTTCCCTTTTGGCACCTGGTCAAATTTCATTTCACGTGCTTAGATAGTTGAAATGAAAATGTCAAATTTACACCAAGTCTGATGCAATTTGAAGTTGGATGCTCAATTCCTCCTGAGACCAAAAAATGATGATTGTTTAACTTATAATAACCACCAAGTTTTTGTCATGTTATTAAGCTTCCTGTCTCAAAACTCATAATCTTTTCTAATAACGCGGCTTAGAACGTCCTTTTAAATGTATGGTCATTAAAGGGAAAGAGATGACATGGATAATTTTTTTTTAATTTTGATAACTTGTCGGGTCAAAAAAGTTCATAGCGACCTGTATGAACTACCCCAGTGGACTTGGAACGCAAATGATGCAAGATTTACCCCAAGGAAGCGAATCCTTGCAAAAATTTTGCAAAAAATATATTACCAAGGAAAACTGTTTGGTGCGATAGAAATTTTTCATGGATAAAGAACCAAAAAACTCCCTGAAAGAGAAATTCTATGAGCTCGAGTTTTAAATTTTTTGCGTCAGGCATTGTCTATTAAGATTTGCTTTAACTGAAGCACGTAGTGATTTAATTGATGATTTATAATCATTTCATTTTGCGCTCTTCTGAAATCTTTTTCATCAGAATCAATTAGCGTTAAAACTCTTCTATTTATCATTTCAAATAAGTTTTTCATATTTTAACTCTAATCTACCTATTTTGAATTGTTTCTCAGTAATGGATTTTTTACGTTCAAGAACTTTGATTTTGCGTGCGTTCATGCAATTATATCATCTTTTCTTCATCTAAGGGGGTAAACGATTCAGCAATCTCGTGTTTGAGATTTTGCTAAGTATCTCCTGGAGACTAGCTGTAACTACGAAAATCAGTGAACATACAAAAAAAAATTAAAAAAACATGAAAAAATATTTTCAGTCGTAGAAAAAAAACTTGCTTATTTCTTGCAAAAGATATGCAAACTTGGAAGAAACTTGTAAGAAACAATCATGAAATTATTTTTTCGGTTTGCAATTCAAGAATGATGGGATTATAGCATTTTCCTCTGTGCCATCAGTGATTACCCTTCCCTTCAGGGGGTTGGCTCCTTCGCCAGGCAAAAGGTCGACCCTTTGGTATTTTTGACATCCCTTTTTGGCCGATGGTCCCTAAAAACTTTTTGGCGCCTGTTTGATCTGTTTTGTTTCTTAGAATATGCCTGCGGCGCGGAAAAACTTGTCAAATTAGTGCCTGTTATAGCCTTTTCAGAGAGCTCGGGTCATCAATCTGGTCGAACTAAGAAAACATTGACACAAACTATTGTAAAAGTTAGTTGATTAGTGAAAATTTTATTCGGTAAAAGTTTCAATACTTTTTTGAAAATAAGGTCCTTCCATCAAAAAAAATATTATATACGACCCTTCTGCCACAAGCAAATGTCAAAATTCTCGACGAGTCGGGTTGTTTAAAAAAACTTTGAAAGTTTATATTGATTTTGTGAGGTTATCCCAAAACACATTAAAAACCATATACTGCCGAATTTTTCTGTCGCGCAGGAAACCTTAAAAAGTCGGCCGAAATTGGCAGGAAGTTAAAATAATATCAAAAAAAGTTAAAAGTCACAAAACTAGATAAAACACAACTTAAACACTGATAGTTTACAATAATTTCAGCGTGCGTAGGAAGTTTTCTTTTACGAGGCCAAACTGTGTATTTTGTGAATCGTAAGCGGATGTCACAACAATGCCGCTCCCTTCCCGCATGGAGCGCCCATGGATATTGTCTATATTGTCTAAATATGGTCAGTATTTATATATTTACAAAAAAAATCGATTATAAATAATTAGAAATGGAATATAATCGTAATATCTTTCATGTCAATGTAATCCATTATAATCATTTATAATCCATTAAAAATGGATTATAATCATTATATTTTGTATGCCAATATAATCCATTATAATCTTTTATAATCAATTATAATGGAGGCTCTTTTTCCTTTTCCCCCCATCTCACTTAAACATGAATTTTATGGTCTAACGAGTGGTTTTACAAGGTAAATTATGAAGACTAAATATGTTTGTCATGGCCTAATTAGTCTGCTTGTCAATTTTCAAAACAATCAAAAAAAGTGAACAGTAACTTCAAATATAAAAGTTTGCAGGTGGGGGGGGGGGAAAGGAAAAAGAGCCATAATGGATTTTTTCGAGACATTATTCATGAAATTTACAACATTTTTAAAATTTTCTCAATTCTTGTTTAGTGCAGTTGCTACATACGTTCCATAAAATGTTATTTTTCTGATAAAAATTTGTATGTTCATTTGTCTTATATATTCTGATTGATCCCCCCCCCCCCCCCCCCCCCCAGTCTACTTTAACCAGCTCATCCCCACCCCCTGTTTACTCCCCCCCCCTCAGTTTACTTTACACCCCCCGCCGCTTGGCGTGAGGGAGTAAATGGTTGACATACCTAGTTTACCGCCCCCCTCCTTAGTTGAAAGGGGTCGCAAAAAAACTTCAGGAGGTGACGTTGGGATATGGCATTTAGTAAAAGGCATAGCATACATTTTGCAAATTTTCTGCAAATTTTGCTACATTTTCTGCAAAAATCAATTAAACTTAGTTCTAAAAAATCGGACTATAATCGAGTTGAAAGGGGTCGCAAAAAAACTTCAGAAGGTGACGTTGGGATATGGCATTTAGTAAAAGGCATAGCATACATTTTGCAAATTTTCTGCAAATTTTGCTACATTTTCTGCAAAAATCAATTAAACTTAGTTCTAAAAAATCGGACTATAATCGATTGTAATGCATTATAATGGAATTTTATTTCGACCATAATCAAATGTAAGGGATTCTCTTGGCAAAAATTATCGATTTCACTAGCAAAATTAATAGATTATAATCGATTAAAATGGATTATAATGGACTATTTTTTTGGTGGCAATACAATCAATTTCGTGGTCTGAATTTTTCTTTAGCTCCCACATTTTCAATAAGTTAAAACAATTTTCAGAAAATATTTTGAATTAAAACTTTTCATGTAGGTATTATATAAATAATGAGTAATACAAATACGAAAGCGCAAAAATGTAACCCAATTAATTGTTGACATTTTTGAATGCATACTTTATACGTAAATGATTGCCAAACTTAATACGACATGCATAGGGGAAATAGTCAGCAAGGTCCAAAAGGGGGAATAGTTAACAAGATCCGTGTTTTTTTTGAAGAAGGTTGCCAACAACCTTTAAGTGAACCATTTTAAACGTTTCAAAATCACTAAAAAAAAAAACACATTTTTGAACATTTGTGTTGCAGTAAATTTTTGAGAAAACAAGCTTAAAAGGCGGTTTTAGACACTTTTGGAAAATATTGCACGAAAAATTGAAATTGGCGCCACAGGTGCCTTTCGAAAATTTTTAGGGTCGGTCTGCCAAAAAGGGATGATTAAAATAGTAAAAATGGGGGATCTTCTGAGTTGTCAGGGCCCGCATCCAGTTTCAAGCGTTAATAATCGATTATATTACGATTTTAGTACCAGTCTCACTAAAATTGAGAAACAATCAATTTTAATCAATTAATAATCGATTATAATTTCTCTTTTTAAATTCAAATTATAATTAATTTTAATCCATTATAATTGATTATAATCGATTATTTATTCGTCTATTTTTCGACACAGTTATAATCGATTATAATTAATTATAATCCATTATTTTTATTCAAATTTCTGTTTTACTAGTTTTGCGCAAAAATCCATTATAATTGATTATAATCCCTTTTGTTTGTCCATTTTTGTCTTCGAAGTTGCATCTAAATTGCTTATATTTTATGCTTTTTGTGTACGTTGGTTCCTATGAAAAATGAGAAAAATGTTTTTAAAGTTTTCCAATTAATTCAAATTTATAAGTTTTTTTTTCTTTTCTTCCCCATTAGAATTGTTTTGTGATGCATATTTTAAGCTTTTTTAAACACCAAAACATCAGCAAATTGATTTAGTTTCATGATTGATTCGGAAAATTTATTTTTCATCTACCGCGAGAACCTTTCCACTCATATGAAAGGATCTCTCTGAAACTATTGTTTCGCGGTATAACTTTGTGTTCAGATGAGCCAAAGTGTTCAAGAGATCTCTCTTTTAGAGATTTTTTATTGACACAAAAAAATAACCCATAAGATATATTTCGAATATAAGCAAATTTCGGCAAAATAAGAGATTATAATCGATTATAATCGATTATAATTTATTTTAAGGGTTTTTAGTAAGAACTATAATCAATTTTAATCAATTATAATCGATTATAAGAGATAATAATCTCTTGGAAAATATCACGATTATAATCAATTATAAATCCCTTAAAGACCTAATTTTGGTAATTATAATCGATTATAATTGTCAAAAAATCATCATAATAATCCGTTATAATCGATTATTTACGCCTAAACTTGGATGCGGGGGGGTCAAACGCCTAGGGGGAAGATGTTCCCCCCAAATCCGCTACTGTTGCAAGGTTCAGTATGAAGTTTTTTCAGCCTCCAGTAGTGTGACTATTTTGTTATTTTTACGTGTGTGCTGGCTCATTTGAAAGACTAACAAACCTTTTCTCACTGAAACTCATATACCGAAACCCCTATTTGCAGTAGTGAAGTAGGAGGTGAAATATCTCTTTTTATTCCGAATTGCACTCAGTTTAACAAAAATAAATGTGATATAAATGTGATATAAATAAATAAATAAACACTGCTATAAATGTGTTTCTTTTCCTACAGGTTTGTCTCTTCTGATGAATGTGATCACGTTACGAATCTATTCACCATCTCACACTAAGGAACGCCCTTGGCCACGCCTTCGCTCTATCTGCAACAAACTAAAAGTGCTCGTCGGGCCGAATGACCCGCTACCCGACATAGTATTAGCTAGACGACAAATGACTTTCGTCTCAAACAGCCTAAAAGAATCTGATTTCGACCCTGGTAATTACAGCGACGATGATGACGATTCGACGGCTATGTTTAAATCTCAAGTTTCAACGGATGTGAAAATCGCGAAAAATTCAGCGCCAACCATACCGAATGGACGTACAAACTCGCATAAAACGAGCGAGTTTTTGTACCCCGACTCGATTTATTTCTCTAGCAACAACGGGCGAAGCAGTACAACTAACGTACCTCATTATGAGCAAATTCCGGGTTCTTTTACAACTCAAAAAAGTTTAAACCACGTTTTATCTCCGCGATTGACTAAAAAGAGTCTAAGCACGAGTGCGAAACGAAAACGAAAACAGTCTGTGGCTAGTCCGAACTTTCGGCTAGTAAACCGCCGGCTGGAACCGGCAGATACTTCAGCTAATGTTATGAGAACCCAGCAACTTGACGATGACGACGACGAAGACGAAGAGAGAGACTACACTTTAGAATGGCAGCAACATGCCGAAATTATAAACAGATTTAACGCTTTAATCTTTTCACTGTTGCTCATTTTGAATGGCATTCTGTACGCGCTTTTCCATTCACCAGAAGCAGATTTAGTGTCAGATTAAAACTCAAAACATAACTCCAATTTCACCAAATTTAATTAATACAAAAGAAATCATTTATTTTTCCGACAGTTTTGATTCGAGAAACATCACCAAGGCAGAGATACTTCAGATTTTTTTCTGGATTTTCAGAACAAAGTGTAAATGAAAAAAAAATTGGAGACCGCACATCAAAATCCTGATGTTTTGGTGAAACTTTTCTACAAAAATTCCAAGAATGAATAAGTTAGTATTCTTGATCCATGAAGTTTTTTTTGGAAACGATCAATTTTTTGGTTTAGTAAATGGAACCTGATCTAAACTATATTTTATGATTGGATAAATTAGATATTTTACCACTCTAAAGTATTTAATATTAACCAATCATGATCCATCTAACTAACAACCCACTTATTTGTAAGTGCTGAAATTACTTGTAATTTCAGCACCAGAGAGATTTGAATTTAACTTAGAAATTAGTTGTCTCTCCAAGAGAACTTCAGCAGCCGCAATAAACCAGTATACCCTAGATCTATTGAGCCTAGCAGAGACTAGTTAAACACCCTGAGACTAGAAAGTATAAGAGTAAGATTAGGATCGGTATTAGACTAAGAAGTTGCACGAATCTATCCGGCCGAAAATAAGATAGCGTGACGAGCAGACGGTGTACCCTATCCGAAATAACTCTATGAGTTAACCACTTCGGTTATAACTCATCTGGTGCAACCATAAGTCTCGAATAAGACCTTAATAGCTTAGAAATAACCAAAAATAGATTAGAATTTAGGCAAAACATTTTAAAAATGTTATACGACGATAAATTAATCGAAATATCTCTACGACTCAATAGATCAGAGCCGATATTCCGAACGATAACAGAACTACCCGGAATCGTAAGAAGACCTCGAACAAGAGACGACCTACGACAAAGTAGAAACTTACCATATAGTTATATGATAGTACGGCAAAAGCCAACACAAACTTTTATATTTAGAATTTTATTAGCAATGAATTTAGATTTTCATTTGCAAACATAAAATCTTGAAGTCAATCTTCATAATAATTTCAAGCGCTAAACAAAATTATTAATATACAATAACGATTGATAAAAAGATCTCAAATCGTTTTCTTAAATTCTGCAGTCTTATATGAAACATGTTTGAAAAATATTTATTGAAAATCAAAATAAAAATTAGTAGCATGACAATAAATTGTTAGCAATCATAAAATCATCTGTTGTCCCAGCTTCATCACCTAAACATAACAACAATGATAAGCTCACTAATACCATTAAAAAACTAAATCTTTTTTAAAATAAATTTAAACCATTTTAAACTTAAATTCACTTAATTTTAAAAAATCAGATCATCAAGGCTTATCCTTGGATCTTAATTAATTTTCTATTTCACTAAATTTAAAACCTGATCATCAAGGCCTATCCTTGGATCAAAAAGAACAATTTTGTTCTCCCCTTCCCACTTAGCAAGTGTCTAACGACCTCAAACGTCGATTCACTATCCAACCCTTCCAAAAAACCCAAGACTAATAGAAATTTTTCAACAAAACTAACCATTCAAATTAGGATAAAGAGTGAAAAACTTCGGTTATTCATCCTTCACTTAAACCCTCCTCTTACCAGACCCAGGATAAATCTTAGACTTAGTAAGTTTAAAATAGTATCTAACGAACTACTCGCGTTCTAATTATACCTGAACCTTGTGGATCGATTTACTATTCTCCAACCCTTGAACACAATCATTACCCCTAAGTAAGATTAAGTAAGTTAACACCTTAGCTTATATTAGCCACGAGAAAGTGAAAAATCATTCTTCGGAATCGATATACTTTTCTCTCCAACCCTGAACAAATAGACCCAGGTTAAGCTAACCAAAAAATCGTAAGGACTAACAGTCTAAGAAAATAGAAATACCTAACAACTTTTTGCATCCCTCATCCTAAACCATATGTCATTCAAAAATCTAGGAAATAAACAAACAATAGTTCTACACAACTGTGAGATAGATAACAAAAAATACGATCTTGTCATCACACCTCATACACAAACAGTTGGATACATTAGAACAAAACGACAAACAATAAAAAGAAAAATTATAAACAAACAAAGACAAATCACACGAAAAAGAATTTTGAAAAATAGAAACGCATTTTCAGAATCAGAAGCCAGCAATTTAGATGAACTCTATAAATTAAAAGAATCGATTGATAAAAATTGTCCCATTCACGATCAATTATATTTTTCCGACTCAGAAACAACTTCAAATTCATCAAAAAGAGGAAAAAGAAGAATAAAAAAGCAATATAAACACAAACCAGTACACTTGTATAATTGGAATCAACCAATTAGACACATCGATAGTTATATTTTATTAGTCATTAAACGAAAAAATGAGCCACAGCCACACTCAAAGTGACGAAAGTCCAGATGACGAAGAGCTTTATCCCTTCCTTATAGATGCACCCGTTAATAGAGGGCAGCATGACTTTTGCAAGAATTTACTCCTAAATTTGTTTGAACCCGGAATCAGCCCATGCAAAGCAGAATTCCCAGATGTAAAAATCAAAAGACAAATTATTGAACATTATCTGAAAGATATATGTAATTTAACACAACAATACGGAATCTACACCATAGAATTCAGCACACCAAATCCGAATCGTTGCAAATATGTAATTCAAACAGACGATCTTGAATTAGAATTTTCAAAAGTATTCCTAGAATATATTAAAAGCATACAATATGATAACTCACAAAGAGCAAACTCCATATTTACTAACGAAGTTTTTGCAATAATATATAGCTATATTTCAATATTAGAAAAAACAGAATTTCAAAGTATCTCACCAACTGAAACATCCAAACATACAAAAGTACGACAAGAAATCACATTATTTTCAACTTTTCTACATATAATCAAAAAAAATTTCACTAAAAACGAAGTTTCACAACACACAAAACATGACTTACAAAAAATTTGGGCATGGTTTACAATAGATTATTTCACACATAATATAGACTTAATTTCACAAGCAAGAAAAAATTTCAGACCTCAAAATCCAAACGATGATACTGCCATCACAGAACAGTCCGACTACGTTTGGGACCCCGAATGGTCTCATCATGCATTTCTAAATATCCGACAATCAATCTCAAGTCAAGCAATAAGTACAATATCTTATCAAAGAGATTATGTGAGAGTAGTACTACTGACTATTGATGCAACACCATTAAACTACAATACATTTTTACCTGATACGCGAAATAACAGTTTAAATTCGACCGTCATACACAATGAAAACCTTTATGGAACTAGGAATCTTACACAACAAGATATCCAAACACCATCACACTTCATAAATGAAGAAATCGTCCAAACAACAACAACTACACAACAAAGTATTTCACCGATACGTCCAAATTTAACAACACCAAAAAATACAAAAAATTCAATGGCACAAGTAACCTTACAATCAACCGTTAAACCTTCGGTTGCTCCAAAATATTCACAAATGGATTATCAAACATATAGACCCATGACAGTACCGTCAAAAACACGAAGAACGTTCACAAGAAACACTTTTGCAGAACAAAATTATAATTATGCCCATTCGTCAAAAACAAACTATCCCCCACGAAAAACTAATAATAATCATGTAAGTTCTCAATATTGGGATAACCCAATGACAACAACCAACTCAGTAAATTTTCGAACTAATTCACATCCTCCACAGGATCGTAGTGAAAATTACCCATTCTTTCAACAAAATAAAAATAAAAAGCAAACACCTCATCATACGGATTACTTATCATCTGATGATGATTATTTCCAACCAGATATTTTTGCACCGTATACCCAAGAATATCGCGGACAAGGAGTGCAAAAACCTTATACATATAAAAGAATTTTTTCTCCAAATCTAACAGATACACAAAATCAACAACCAACAAATAAGCAAAATCCAACTAATACACAATTTTTTTAACCAATTCAGCCACAAAACCCAATGATCACACACTCGTATCAACCAACTCAAATGCAAAATGAAATACCACTCCCGTATTACCTTCAACAACACGAAATAACAAAAAATCAACTGTCAAATATTTCACAAATGCCAAATGCCGCAGAATCACTACAAATATCAATGAATCCATACTTTATGGGGGGATCATCAATAACATCAAATAAACCACTAATGGTATTCACAGGAACAGACCCTGAATATTCTGTAGAAGATTATTCAAATGCAGTAACAGCAAATTTAATTTTAAATATAGGACCTGAACCAATTAATACACCACTACATCAAAATTGGATACATCGACGCACAGCGTTGATACAAACAACCTTAGATGGCGCAGCCCAAAAATGGTTTTCAGTATTACCTATAGAAATAAAATCAAATTGGAAAAGATTTACACAAGAATTTTCAAAAATGTTTGACTCCGAAAGAAAAAAACAACACCAAAGAGTTTTATGTAATGAAATTCACAGACTACCAAATGAAACCATCAAACAATTAGCAGTACGCATCGAAACACTAGTTCGAAAAGCTTATTCATTAAATACACATGACTATAAAAACACAAAAATGACAGAAATTTTAATGATGACCTTAACACCTCAATTAAGGAAAATAACAATAAAAAAGAGAGCATCTCATTCTTCCTCAATTCGAGAACCCGATTTAGATTTTCGAAAACTTGTAGACAAAACTAGAGCAAGCGGAAATCACAATGAAACTTGAAGAAACAGAAAATCTAAAACTACAGTATGTTAATCGAATCGAAACTAACACTACAAATATCAATAACATACAGGAATCAGATAGAGACCTAGTTGAAAAAATCACAGAAATACTAAATATTTATGAAAAACACCCAAATTTTAAAGGCAAACCATCTTTCAAAAAATGGTGTAATTATTGCCGACGATACGGACATAGTATATCCGAATAAAGACAAAAGCAACAGGATAACCAAAACAAACCTCAAAAATATAAAGAACCAAAAAAAATCATTCTAT